TGCCAACTTTTGTGCTGATTCTGCAGAAGATAATTCTTAGGCACTTCAGTCAAGGTGCTCTCATGACTGGTGTGTGCTTTGGATATGTGCATGCATTTTAGGCATTTGATTGTCGTGAATGACGAAATATTGAGGGCATTGTAGAAAAATTGAAAGGTGTCTTGCCAGGGGTGAGTTTGAATCATTGTGTTCTAGGCTCACTCCAAAGTCTCCTTATACTTAAGCATAGAACTAATTGCTACTAATTACTTAGCCTGGGAAATCAAAGATGGCTGCATGTCTGGTCGCATCAGTCATTAGTAGTAGAAACACCAAGTTACCTCCATCACTTACAGAAACTACAGAAATATCTTGGTCTCAGTGATCAAAGGGTCTCAGCAATAAATGGGTTCTAGGCCGAGATAATCGACTGAACTACAGCAGGCAGCCTCAACTTTTTGGTTTTACCCCCTTATTCAGAGGAAATCGGGATAAGGTCTTGTTGTTTTTAAATGAAACATTACAGAATGACATCACCTGCTAGTAGCTAGGCTTTTGAAGTCTATTTCTAGCTCTTTCATTGATTCTCCATTTTGACCATAGGCATGTCATACAATCTTTCTAGGTCTCTGTTGACTTATGAAGGTGACCGAATCCTTTATTATTCAGCAGTGCTCTCATGACTTAGAGCATTTTTAGTTTGTTGGCTGTAGAACATCAATCAGAAATACTTTTGTACTTGTATTCAGGTCCTGTTAAAACAATTTTAAAATCCCTTTCTGGATTAGCCACTGTAGCTTGAGGATCTTAAGAACCACACCTCAAGCAAACTGAAAGATTTTGTTTAGTTCAGGTAATACTGACTGTATAGAAACTGGGGAAAATAACATTCAAACATGGAATTATTCATGTAGGTGTCAGGTTAAATTAGGTGACAGGTTCAAATGTCACAATTTTTAAATATGTTCACTAGCCTTTGAAATTCATACTCCTTCATAAAATTACCAGGGAGCCTTAGTGCTGTAAAAATCTTTTGCCTCTACTGACAACCATAAAAGATGTGGCTTAGTTCAGGTGTGTGTAGTAAATGCAGTAATTTGCTTGCAGGAACATTAAGAAACATTTCCTTAAAGAATTTTCTACTTTAGTTTGTCATATGCAAAAGCATTTTTCTTTTCCTCTCCTTGAAATACATGCTCAGTTTTCCAGCAGCTTTCCAGGTAGCAGTAGTTGTGGTAGGTAGGTTGTCCCGAAGATTCCTGGAGAGGCTGGGTGATTGGAAAAGAATCCTCTGGGAGCAGACTGGAAGCTTTGTTGCAGAATAAATCCTGTTCAGTTCTCCAGGTCTCGTATGGAGTAACTGGTAAGGGTTTGTTGGAATATTTATAAAAGAGGGTTCTCAGAGATAATGAAAGCCCAGAATCCTTATCCAATATGGGGAGTTCTTTTGTTGTGCTCCAGAAATGTACATGCTGAGTTCTAGTTCTGTATGTGCACAAAGATACCTTGCTCTTATACGAAACTCACCTATCCATGCAATCAGGAAAGGACTGGTGAATATCACCAGTCTAGTCTATGTTAAGTAGAGTGTTTTGACTGTTCTTCTTAACTTCTCTTTCTCACATGTATGCAGCATTATTTCTTTATGAAATGAAAAAAGCAGTAGAAAATACAGGACGACTTTAAGGGATTTAATATATTCTTTTAGCAATAGTTTCCTTATGTGTTAAGTCTTTGCTTTGTGTTTTATATCTCTTTATGGATTGGCACAGACTTAGAACGCACAACTGAGATGATCATGTATCACTGAAGTGAATATAAGTTTTTCTTGTAGAATTTAAGAATCAACCAAATAAAGAGAATGGATGAAAAGGTAGGTAGTGTAGCATATGGTTTTGTAGTAGGATTTTGATTGCTTCTCTTTCCAATTCAGGTCAAGATCTGATGGAAAACTTCACAGGACCTACCTGGTGGGCTTCTAAAACCCATACTTTGGTAGCTGAATTGCAAAGCCATTAGCTTGACTTTATTTACCCAATATACTAATCTGTTAACCATTTTCATAATGCTCAAAGTGAGGTTCTGCTCTGTGGATTACCTATTTGGAACTGGGTGATTGTTACAGTATAATTAGTGCAGCATTTCTGCCTTGTAGGTGGCTTTCCAGGAGGTGCATACACTGTTAGCATCTATTTTTTGTGTAAATTTAGAGCTTGCTTTTATGATTTGATTGCACTCATTCTGCCCATGTTCTTAATGAAAACAATGGTTCCAATATTGAGCAGGCATTATTTCCCAAGTTGACAGTCACAGAAAGGCAGAATGGCTGAGGTTAGAAGGGACCTCTGGAGGTCACTGGTCCAATGCCCCTGCTCAAGCGGGGCTGCCTAGAGCCAGCTGCCCGGAACAGCTTGTGAGTATCCACATCTTCGAGGATGGAGGCTACACACCCTGTCTGGGAAAAACCAGTGAGGGTGTTAGTGTGTTAGTGGTTAGTGTTAGATAATACTGTTTCCAGGTGCATGTAAATATGTAGGTTTGACACTTTTCACTGTGGTTAATCTGTGTGAAACAACTTTCCAAGTTAGAAATGTTGGCACTTTTTCCATGGTGTGTCCTGAACATGTGGTGTTTTCCTTTAGAAGAACAGTAATAAATTTTAAAGACTTTTATTTTAATGTAGTTTGCAGAATTACGGTATTTTTTTTTTGTTTAATCTGAGAACAACATGCTGTCACCAGCTATTATTATAGTGGCATACAGTTTTTTATTTCTGATATTTTAAATGCTTAGGTAATTTAAGCACTCGTACTGAAGAAATACGATATTGCATCTGTTAGAAACAAATACAGCAAGAATGTGAGCAATTTAAATACAAAACCATGAAGACAATCTCATTTTGATCTTACATAGCTGCAGTCCCTAGCTCTTAGGGAATACCTGCTCTGGATACTTCTTGTTGACAGATGAAAAAGAAAATACGTTCATTATATAAGTAAATAACATGGAATAATGGTGTGGCTGTATGACCTTTTTGCATGGCTTTTTATCTTCTGCATCACTGGAGATTCAACTGATCTATTATTTAAAAGAAAATAAGCCATTTTTTATACGGCAGTGGCAGCTGTATTTTTTCCAGCAGTATGTCTGTTTGTTTTGAGGAGGAAGAATGACTTGGTAAATACTAAGTTTCTATTACTGTATTTTTTTTTCAGTGTAAGCTGGAATTTTGCCATAGAAATTCTGGGGCTCTATGGCCAAAATTGTGTGCACAATTCTTTTTTTTTTAAAAGTGGCTTCTTTGCTTTGTGGACAAAAGCTGAACATGTTTGTTCCCTCTACTATGTAATTTACGTCCCTTTACTTACATAGTATACTAATTTATTTACTGAAATAATCTGTTCTGGTAGAATTTCAGCCAGGCATAGTTAAGGCTGCTTGCTATTCACTGCTACATATTTAAATTTCTTTTAGAAAGGCATATATAAAAGATGTTCAAGTGAACTGTAAAACGGGGTCTGTGGGATGAATAAATGTGGTTATATTGGTCCTTGATCTGAAGATTGTTCTCCATCCAAAGGAAGATGTATTTTGTCCTTGCTAAAGGGAAAAAAGCTCAACCCAAACCCCAAAAAAACAACCAAAAGCAAGAAACCCAAACCCATATAACACTTGAAAGGGAAATGAGGACTATGATTTTCAATAGTAAACTTTCAGTTTTACAGGTTTCTGGGATATTTAGGTTTGGGTGGGTGGCAGTAAGAATTAACAGTAATGAAAGCATAGCTGCTGGATTTGGAATTTGAAGAAGAGAAGTTATATTTGGTGATAAAGAAGCAAAAAGAACTCAGTGATGGAGTAGTGGGATTGGAATGGAAACAGAACTGATAATTCATGTTGGGAGTTTGCTGAGTAACTGGTAAGATTACAGAAGAGGGAAGCAACAAAGATAGTGGAGAAGTTGAATTCATATATGGACATACTCTGCAATGAATGTCAGTTAAGTTGAGATGCTTCTAGAAATATGAATGTAGACAGAAATAGATGGATTTAGGAATTGCTGCAGAGGATTAACAGGATCTGTTAGAATGTAATGAGCAAAGGACAAGTGAGTCTAGAAGAATATCAAGTATGAAAAAAGTGAAGGGTGAACAAATATTATTGAATAGATGTGGGTGATTGCAGGAATACTGAAGCTCATAAAAAAAAGCCTTAACTCCTTGATATTGGAACTAAAATGGCAGTTGGAACAATGCAGGATTAGAGAATGTCCTATCTCTTTTGTCCAAAAGGAAGTTGCTGATGGCCTTGTCTGTAGTTTCAGCAAAAGAGAAACACTGCAAAGTGTGGTGAGGAGTGAGTTACAGGGCATGTATAAGTTACAGAAGAAAATGGTCCACTCTTGGACAGTGTGTGGGAGAAGGAAAGTAGGACAATAATACTAAGTTGTGAGGAACTGGAGACAGGAGAACTTAAAACTATAATTTGGAGGAAGTGAAGACAGACTGATAAAAGACAGGAAAGTATAAGAAGAATTTGGTAGACTGTAAGATTAAAATGCTGGCATCAGAACACATGAAGGAGTAGAACTCAGAAAGGAGAACTGGAAAAGTGATCATAGGGATGGAATGGAAAGGACCTTTCCAGTTGTATTTGTTTCTGGCAAGATCATAGAGAAAAAGAGGAGTTGAAGGAACGAGGAGAGAGGAAAGAACATGAGCACCAGTGACCATACAGTCAGATTAGGGAGACCCAGAAGTCAGTTATAATACTTGTTCACTAAAAGAATGGCTGAATAAAAGAGAGTGGAGCTCAACAAAGGAAGCTGACATGAGTTGCCAGATTTGAGTCATCCCCCTGATTCTGAGGTGAAGGAATATGCTTAGAGAAGAACTTGACTGTGCACCACAGCTGTGAATGCAAAATTCACTTACTGAACACAAGCATTGGATGTTTGTGTGTGTTTGGTTAAACAATTTAAATTTTGCTTGATTTTAATTTTGTTTGTTTTTATGTTTCAGGTTCGTGGGAGTAAAGGTGAAGTCCTTTATATCCTGGATGCAAGCAATCCACGCCATTCTAATTGGCTGCGGTTTGTCCATGAGGCTCCATCACAGGAGCAGAAGAACCTGGCAGCCATCCAGGTAGGTGTGGTGAATTCCTACTATTTGCTTTGTGTAATTGATTTACTAATTTGATCTCCTCTTTGGTCTTTATCTCCTGCAGTAAAATCGCAAGATTTAAGTAGCAAACTGCTTTCCTTTTCCTACCTTTCTTTTCAGAAGTGAGCTCTTATGCTTGAATATAATGCTATAAATAAGATTGATAGAATAAAGCACCAAAGGGGTCCTTAGAAAAAGTGCTAGTGAAGCCCTAGCATGTAGTTCTGTAAAAGTTGCATTATTGCTGTTCTTTGCCCTGCCCCTTCCTCTCTATTTGTACTCAGCGGGACTTGGAATTTCAGTTTCTGTGTTGATGACCTGTCCAACTGCTTAAACCTGCTGCTCACCAGAGGGACTGGTTTGCTTATTTGGATCTTAAGCAAGCACTGCCCAGTGAGGTGGGTGCTGCCAATTACCCTGCAGACCTAGTATCAGCTTCTGTTCCTGTTCCAGCTGTGAGCTTTCCTGTGATTTCCATTCCACTGTTGTATTTCCTACTATGCCTCTTCTGCCTGGCTTTTCTTCCGTTATCACAGTTGAATGCTACTGTTAGCAGTGTACTGCATTGGAAAACCTATGTGCTTATCTGCCAACCATTGCTTGATTTGTGCCTCCTACTTTCCAAAGCTCTAGTATTACTGAATGTCAGTCTGTGACATTCCATCACAGATTGATGGCTGAGTATGACCACAGTTTTGCTGCCTACACTGTTTTCTTGGACCTTGTTGCTGTTCCTGTTTTAGGTCGCTGTTGAACAGCTTTGTCATCTGCTTTTTCTCTGAGCCTGTACTCTAGGTTGACTTTGGGTCAGACCTCTTTAGGTCTTAACATCTAGGCTACAGTTGAATTTTGAGTAACAGATAAGAAAAAGTGTTCGTCATTCATTCAGCAAAAACTTGTCAGCAATGACTGACTGCTTTATTGTGCTTTTCCTGATGTCTGTGACAAATCAGTGGTTAATAACTGCAGTACGACCGCTCCTTATGCTATTATTTCTGTATGTTTTCCTTCATTTTGGTCACTCAGGTATACCATGATCTATCAAAAGATTTGTTATAGTACCAGATAATGAGAGGCCCTCAGACATGAGAAATCCCAGGGGTTAGTATGGCATCAGCGCACAGGCAGTGTGATAGCAAAGTACAGTCAATGTTAGCAAATGCAAAGTAAGGTTCGCAAGATGTTGCCTAAATTTTTAAACAGTGTGAACAACTAATGTTCATTATTATATTTTAAATAAAGCAGTCAGTAAAATGACCTGAGTTTCTCAATAGAAGCCATAATGGAATATACAGTGCAAACCAGTGTTTTTTTTTGGTAATGAAAACAATTATTTAAATAAAGAAATGAAAAGAGACTGTTATGCTGTATCACGTAACATTGTACCTTGCTTAGAGTGTGCTTAGTGCATTTTGCATGCCTTTTAAAAAGATCATACTGGAGTTAAAGGATAGTTGAAAAAGGAAAAAGAGTGGCAAGAATGTTAGTCCTGTGAAAGCTTCCACAGAAAAATATTTAGAAAAATTACAGAGAAAAATAGAATAAACACAATCAGCATGTACAAAATTGTGAAAAGGATGGGGAAGGAAAACTTAGGAGAACAAACAAAAAATTTATCTCATAGGGTGTTTTTTAGTATTGTCAGTAATCAGCTGCCAAAATAACTTGTGTATTCCATGCGACTGACCTTGAAGCTGTAGAGATATGTACGTACTTGTAAGTATTTAATTGCATATAACAAGAATAAGTACTACTTGTGTTGAAAAAAGCTGTGTATGGGTGTATTTATTTGCAGGGTTTGATCTCATTCAGTAAATGGTAATGCAAATCCCAAAGCTTACTCCTTTAGGAGAAAAAAAAAATCCAAACCTAACCCACAAATCCTTCATTATTTTAATTCCACAATCTTTTCCATTAATGATAAGCAGATTTAAGGCCTCTTGGTGCAACAGCACTTTGTTTTATGAAAAAAAAAAAGTGGGTAAAAACATTGGTGGAATGTTTCCACTAGCGATACCTTTTAATTTGAATTGAGAGTTGCCTGCTTGCCACCAAGATGATAAAATTATATTTTACAAAGAGCAAGAAGTTATGAATTACATCAGTAAAGTTGTTCTAGTTTCATTAGCATTACTCATTTTAACGTGGCTGTGAAAAATAGTTTGTAGCAAACGTAAAAATTCCTAATCTTAAACTAACTGACTCAAGTAAAATATGTCTGCATATTTATAAAAAGGGCCAATCTACTAAGAGGAGAAAATAGAATAGTTAGAGATGGGTGGAGGCTTTGTGTCTTAACTAGCACATTACAATTACCTTTGTGAAATGCAATTTTTCTCCAGACATATGTGTTTTATGAAGACTGTTGTGATGTTGCCTAAATTTTTAAACAAGTGTTTGAATTTTCTCAGTTCTGCTGTTTACTCTTTAAAATGAATCTTTATCAGGGAATCTCACAAGTTAAAAATTGTTTCCTTGAGAATATTTGACTGAGAGTAATGATATGATAGCCTATAAAATGTGAAAATAAAGCACAATGGTAGAACGGGGGCTTCTCTTGCTTGTCCTAAGTCTGTTCGATGAATGCTTAAGAACTTCATGCTGGTTGTGTGCTTCAGAGCTGGCCCTTTGCGAATTTCTAGAAGACTTTGTATGAACTAACAAAAACATGAAGGGAAAATAATGATTTTTTTTTGTTTATACCCACTAATGCTGATGCCAACTAATTATCTTTCCCACTAGTTTTCTTTCCAGTTTCCAAATACTCCAAGGATCTTCTTGGTCTGCTCTGAGAACATTTCCAATCACTCTAACAGTAGCTACATATTTCCTGGATTGAGGTTTCTGCCCTCACAGACATTGCCGAGGTTGGTTTTACTCTGGGCAGCCTGACACCCTGGATCTGCAGGCAAAGATCAGGGGAAACTTGGTAAGGATTAGGAAGGCTGGGTTGGAGCAAGCTGGTCAAGCTCTGGAGGATGGGCAAGCCCTACTCTTTCTAAAGTAACAAAAGACTGTCTGCTTCCTCCTTTTCCTGTGTTTTCAGCTTTCAGGAGTGATGACGTATGTCTTACACTTTTGGATGGAAGTGTGAAAGGTTGTGAATGGTTCCTGGCTGTTGTGGTTTAAATTCTAGCCAGACAACTTGTTCACTGACTCCCAGTGAGTGGTGCTGGGCTGGAAGCAATCGAGCCCCCCCCCCCCCAGGCTCTCCCCTTTCCCACTCCCAGAGGAATGGGGAGGAGAATCAAAAGAATGCAACTCCCACAGGTTGAGATAAGAACAGTTTAGTAACTAAGGTATAACACAAATCACTACTGCTACCGCCAATAATGATAGAGGAAATAACAAGGGAGGAGAATACAACATCTCACCACCAGCCGACCGATAACTTTCCTTCCCAGCCTGACCAAGTACTGACCGATACCTCCTCCAACTGCGCAGTCCCAGCCCTTCTGGGTAACTCCCAGTTACATCCTGGGCATGACATGTTGTGGTATGGCATACCTCTTTGGTCAGTTTGGATCAGGTGTCCTGTCTCTGCTTCCTCCTGGCTTCCCCTCCTCCCTGGCAGAGCATGAGGCTCACAAAGTCCTTGGCCAAACCAAAACATCAGGCTGAAAGTCAAAACACAGCACTGCACCAGCTACAAAGGAGAAAAATGACTGCTACTGCTGAACTCAGGACACTGGACCATGTTCCCTTTAAGTATTCCCTCTTACAAAGCACATGTGAAGGTGTGAAACTATGGAAAAGCCAAGAACCTGAATGAGATATACCCGTAGTGGAGCAAAAATGGGCTAGCAGAGCTGTTGGAACAAGAAAACCATTTGCTGGGCAGGTCAGTGTGGCTCAGAGCTTAGAAGATGACTGTCAAGGCAGAGGGTGAGAGAATTAAAGTGGAACAATAAACCAAGAAAAGCATGAAGGGAGGTTGTGATGCCATCATGACCAGCACTTGGAGTTTTCTCCTAAGGACCATTGTGGCTTGCTGCAGATAGCAAAACAACTAGTGAAACAACCAGCATGGCCTAAGTAGGTAGACAGGGGGAACAACTGCAGATGAGTTCTTAGAAACGGGAGGATTATTAGAGTTATTTAAAAGATTTCTTGCTACATTCACTGTGTCTGCATGCATGTAGGTAAATGTGCTTCATTCAGGAGCTGCTGGTGGGAGGAGAGAGACTTAAATTCGTTTGTGGTTTCTGGAGATACTCCATTGATTTCACTGAAAATGCTGCCTTGGGGAGCTACTACAGTGTGGGTGTATCTGGATTAATTAGTGCTCTGAATACCTGACTACTAGCATTTGTTTGTCTGGAACACCCAGACAAATTAGCCTTGGAGGAGAAATGAGTTTGAGCTGTGTTTTAGTGTGGCCTGGCACCAGAGCTAATTTCTTTTCAATGTGAATGCAACCAAGAGCACTCAAGCATTGAGAGTCCCTGGTCCTTCTTCCATTACTCTCTTTACTATTACTCTCTTTACTAACCAAAAGTATGCAAATGGGAAAGAACCAGTCTGTTCTTAGGCATGAGCTGTAAAGTAAGCCCTGGATGCACATAACGCAAGTGCAGAGATGGTGAGGATGTAACAGTATTGATAACAGCTTGGTTGTTGGGGTTCTTACACTTGGTCTAGGTTAATCTGAATAATTCTGGTTGCTGTTTTTCTAGATTTACTGTGTGGTGTAGGATGACTTAATTGAAATGTGTAAGTTTGGGGTTTAATTTTTGCCTGGGATATGTGGCTTTTTCTTCTATTTATTTATTTATTTCCTCCCTTTGGCAAGCCATTAATAGGTGCATGCTTCCATTTATAAGGTTGCCTTGCTTTTAGCATAAGGTTGTCCTAAACAGTGATGTACTGGAGGTTTACCCCAGCAGTTTTATCCAGTCTAAGTGGAAACCGAGTGTAGAAAGACCTTTTACTTTTCCTCGTGTCAAGAGTTTCACTACATGGTTTGAGTTTAGACTGTAGCAAAATAAGGGGGCTGTGCAACTTGACAGAGGCATATGAAAACCAGCAACTCTTGGATGTATGCAGAAGTTAGGGTGGCATGCCAGTAGATATGTGGACTGAAGAATACATCTTGAAAAAAAATATGCATAATTTGTGTTTTTTCAAAAGCTGCTGTTGAGATAAGGACAGAGGAGTGGCGAGTCCTTCAAACCAGCAGCTGTATCAAGTCTGTTGAATTAAATAGGTTTCACTCTTGTGTGACAATATCTTGTGTAGTATACAACAAACCTTCTAAAGCTTGAGAAATACTACATCCCTGTTAACAATTTAAACTAATCTTAGAGTATTGCAAAAATTAAAAATCATTATCGTGTCCTTGTGCTAGGAAGCTTGTTGCAAAATATATGGCTAGATATAATGTAAAGAAGTGTAAGATAACTTTTCTGGATGCTAATCAGAGAAACACTACGATTTATGGTAGAACTTTGAAACCTTAATTGCATGAAAACGAGTCTCCCTTGGTACTTTGGGTAGATTCTAGAGGATTTGGTTCGCATATGGGAAGGAAAAAAAGCAGCAGTTTAGGAGGGAGACAGTTTTGTTGTAGAAGCCCCTCTCATGTTCCTCACTCAGCCCCTCTGCCAACCTTGGTGACTTTAAATAGTCAAAGACCAAAGTTATTAGCTTATGTATCTATTTGGAAGCTTGTTTATTCATTGGGGTGAAGGTTTTGGAGCTTATCAGTACATAGCTTGTCCTCTTGTACAGAATCTGGGCTGGATCTTTGGCCTTCTGTGGATCTCTGAATCTACACTGATTTAAACCAGCAGAGGGTTTTGATCTAGTGGTTTAAAGTACATTTTACAGATGTTCCTGCTAACTTGATAGTGAAGATAATTGACCAGGGATGGAAACCTCTTCATGAAAAAGGCTGGGAATCTTAAAGGAAAGAGAGACAAAGTAAACAAAAGTATGTGAACATGCTACTGAAATATAATTTATGCAGCCAGCAGCAAATGGAGCTAAAGCTGTATTGGTTATTTAAATTTGGTTATTTTTCTAATACTCAAATGTTTCAAACTTCAAAGTTCTTGTCAGGCAGAGTGTGTTAGGAGAGGAGGACTTTAATACCACCTTCACCTTGGTGTAAGCTACGGTACCTATTAGAAAAGCCTCACAGGTGAGGCAGGGGGATATTTCCAGAATACAAGAATGCTTAACCATGCAGCCACCCTGGGAAAGAAGTCCTAGAAAGGCAGTTCTAGCATTGTGTTCCCTGAGGAATTGAGCCATCCCTTCCATAGTTGAAGGCTAATATTAGTTCAGGTTCCCATACTTGTCTCTAGAATTTACTTTTTCTGACGTAATTATTTATTGCTTCTACTTACTATTTGCCACAGGAAGGGGAAAATATTTTCTATCTGGCTGTGGAAGATATTGAAACAGACACAGAACTTCTGATTGGATACTTGGACAGTGACATGGAAGAAGAGGAGGAGGAGGAAGAAGAAGTAACTGTTACCCAGGAAGATGAAGGCAGTGGCAACAACAAAGAAGTGCAACCAGCTGGTGAAAAAGTTGCAAGTGAGCAATATTTTAGGAAAGGGTAACTTGGGAGCTTAAAAGAAGAAAGAGAATGCTAATTGCATAGGATTGGGGAACTGGAAGGCTTGCCAGGTTTAATCTGAGCTCTTGTATGACTTTTATCTGTCTATTTTCCCCTTTACTCTGCTCTTGTCCCCTCTACTCTGCTCTTGTGAGACCTAACCTGGAGTATTGTGTGCAGTTCTGGTGTCCTCAACATAGAAAGGACATGAAACTGTTAGAACAAGTCCAGAGAAGGACCACGAGGATGATCAGGGAACTGGAGCACCTCCTGTATGAAGATAGACTTAGAAAGTTGGGGCTGTTCAGCCTGGAGAGGAGAAGGCTGCGTGGAGACCTCATAGCAGCCTTCCAGTATCTGAAGGGGGTGTATAGGGATGCTGGGGAGGGACTCTTCATTACGGACTGTAGTGATAGGACACGGGGTAATGGGTTGAAATTTAAACAGGGGAAGTTTAGATTGGATATAAGGAGGAAATTCTTTCCTGTTAGGGTGGTGAGGCACTGGAATAGGTTGCCCAGGGAGGTTGTGAATGCTCCATCCCTGGCAGGGTTCAAGACCAGGTTGGCCGAGGCCTTGGTTGATGTGGTTTAGTGTGAGGTGTCCCTGCCTATGGCAGGGGGCTTGGAACTTGATGATCTTAGGATCCTTTCCAACCCTAACTATTCTGTGATTCTGTGATTCTATGATTTTGATTTGAGTTGAGGTTCTTTTCGTTGCCTAATAGGAAGCAGCCAGTCCTGTGAATTAGTGAGTGAGTGAGTGAGCCTAGATTTCATGAGAAGCTAACATTAATTTTGGAACTAAAGACAGAATTCATTTCACCTGACGTGTAAGTTTATGGAAGTTAAGCTTTTGCTCTAAGAGGGGTAGTGTCCCTTTTATTAGATGGGAGAGCAATAAAACTTCTCATAAAACTCTTCAGCCAGTCCTAAGGTAAAATGTCTAAGAAAAGGTGAGCTGTCTGGTGAGTTCTCGGCATCTTTACCAAAGTAGAAACAATCTGGGTGAGTAATTTAGTCTAGCAGCCTAAATCACACCCAACTTAATACTTTGCATCCATTTGCAATTATGTTGGTGGTAATCCACTCAAGATAGGCTATGATCTATTCAGAGACAAATGTCTTTTGTGAATTTTGTGATTCCATTTTGCATGTAATGTAACCAAATATTCCTTGAAAACTATTCCTTTACTGGTTTTGCTTCCAATCATGCAGATCCCCTCACCTGTAAAGAAGAGCATGCATGCCCAAACTGTGAATCCAGTTTTGCTAGCCAGGAGATTCTAGCTGAACATCTTCAGACTTTGCACCAAAAACCCAGTGAGGAAAAGGAATTTAAGTGCCGAAACTGTGGAAAGAAATTCCCTGTGAAACAAGCTTTACAAAGACAGTAAGTAAAATCAGGAGTGTTTTTTTTTCAGGGATTACTTAAATCAGTTTCATTGTCATTTATTTCTCTTGGCTTAATCACTAGTTAGTAGTTTAGGAGATGTAATTTTTAAGCTGTGGATGTCATTACAGAACTAAGGAACAATTTAAAAGAAAGTAGATGGTGATCTAGAAGCACAAAAAAAAAGGGGAAAACAGTGCTTCATATTTGCTTAATTATTTGGGTGATTGAAAAAAAACAATTTGAAACATGAAAGACATGAGATTTAAAAGCACATCTTTACTGTCCTTGATAGTGTAAATATGCAATTTTGTCATTAACATATGTTACAGTTACACTTTTGTACAAAACCATAACTGTTTGTCTTTTGTATATGTATTTTTCTGCTTGCATTTAAATAGATCTATTACTTATACATTTAATTACAGATAGTACCTTAAATGCTTAAGTGATTATGGATAGTACATTTAATTTATCTTGCATTGAAACAACCAGACTTATATTGCATAGAATGTACTTAAGGCTGCTCTTGTAATATATTGGTCTTCCTTACATCTGAATAATGTGAACATTCCCAGAACTGGCAGCTCTACTTGAGCTCTGTGTTCTTTCATGGAAATAAAAAAAATCGTGTAGCAGAGAAGTATTTGATGGAGGCAGTTAAACAGTTTCTCTTGAACTTAGACTTGTTCCTTCTCATCTATAGTGGAAGTTGGATTTGTGCTGTATAGCTAGTTAAGTAAATATTTACAGCATGTGAAGTAAGAATGATCTGCATGAGGATACAGCAGTATGATCCTGACTCTTGCTGTTTATGTATTTGATTAGTCTCACTAAGTTCCAGGAGACTTCACATATGAAAGAGGTGGTTCACCTACTTGAGTGCTTGTAGAGCCGTATTTTTTTTTACCTACTGCAAGCCTGTGTAAGTTGTAGAATGTTCCCCTTACTTCGTTGTTTTTATTTTTCCTTAGTGTACTTCAGTGCACAGAGAGTATCAGCCCAGGAGACACTTCAAGAAGTTTTCAGTGCTCTGTTTGCAATACTTCCTTCAGCTCAGAATCGAGGTTTTGTGTCTGAGTTACTGGACTGCTGTCATATCATTACTGGCCTCCCTTTGCATGTTAGCTTTCAAGCTTGTTAGTTTCTGTGAATCCTAACAGTGAAAGAAGTCAAATGCTTTCCTTTCTATTTGCTGTAAGTAATGCATGAGGTGGCCTCATAACTCTGCAGTGCAGCATGCGTTAAGCTCAGAGTACTTGCTGTGTGTCTGTTTTTTGTAGATGCTGCTTGATGTGTTGCTTTTTTGTTTTGTTTTGTTTCGTTTTTGTTTTTTTTTTACTGGTTATCCCATATAGTTACGAACAGCACAAGGAGGCATGCAGAGGGGATGCCAGGTTCATATGCAAGGCAGATAGCTGTGGAAAGAGGTTCAAGAGTAAGGATGCTCTGAAAAAACATAAAGAAAACGTTCACAGTGGTAAGACATTTAACATTTCTTTGGAAAAAACTCTCTTAACATGTAGCCTAAAATTTTCAAATCAGAGTAAACATTGTCTTTGGTTTCTTTTTTAATGGATTCATTTGTTTCAAAAAGAAAATTGAAAAGTAACTAATTGCAAGAGTTCCTCCCCCAGGGAGAAATTACTCTGTACCAGATGAATCATTAATCTACTGCAGAAAATGTAATAGAAATCTGGGGAAGTTTAAACAAGGCAAATAATAGATAGTAGTGAGGAAAATCAGCCACTGGCACAAACTACTACAGGAAGTGGTGAGTTCTTGATCTTTTGGTATTTTTGGAACACAATGGGATGCCTTTCTGGAAGACATGCTTCACAAATGATTAGGCTTGATGAGGGTATGGCATAAAATTCTGTAGCCTCTGTTGTGCAGGAAGCCAGACCAGGCAATCCAATAGTCCCTTTAGGCCCTAGTATTTTTGTATCTGTCCACTATGAATCAATACTTTTCAATCAAACTTCACTCTGTTTCCATGAAAGGGCAAAATACTGCTCTCAGGTCCACAGTGCAGATCTCAGTTCTGGCATTCTGCTTTCTCTGTATGTCCCCTCTGAATATCAATGGAAGATCAGTATCTGTGGGGATAGCAAATTACCAGAGTGCAAAGAAAACAGTCTTTAGTTGATGATGACAGCACTGAGATGCTTTGTAAGATTTTCATTACTTGAAAACGTCTTTTCTGCCAAACTTCCAGTGTAAAAAACCTATTCCATTACCTTCCTTACAAAAGGTTATCCGCTTTTTTCAGTATCAGTAAGGTATTTTTTAATCCATGAGCATTATTATATTTAGGCTTAGCTTTGGCCAGTTATGTGGTTGTATAGAAATTCTGCAATTCTTTTGAATGATCACTTCAGACATGACTGAGAGCAGATGCCTGAAGAATGTTTTTGCTCTGCCTGCACAATGAGCAGAGCTTTTATTTTACCACTGGGGACTCATAGAAATCACATCTGGTGTCAGTGCAGGAAGTAAAATAACCTAGTGCTGTTGAGGGACTCTTACAGAACCCCTTCTTGCCGTATGTCACCAGGAGTCAAGGGAAAGTAGAAAGGATTGTTATGTGTGTTGCCTGTTAGACAAAGCTATGAACAGATATTATCACCTTCCTCTCCTCTGAAAAGGTCTTATAAATTTCTTGTAAGTTGAAGTGTATTCCTTTATCTATGGGTATATCAGTATATGTAAATACTTGTCATAAGTTTTAGAACAGCAAAAGCATATGTGAGATTAAGTTGGGATTTTTTATACTACAAATTTAAGTATTGAACCAATTGGTTGTAGTAAGAAGAAACAGCATAATAGGACTTCTTAGGACAGCAGGAGGAGGAAAGATGTAGGATACTGAGAGTCTTGAAAATTGAGCTGGAAGTCATCTAATAAATTAGTTTCTGATCCATACTTCCTTTGTGCTTGACTCCCATTCTATGTCCATTCTTTTTACCTTCATTTATATAAGTTAGGAAATGTCTTGCATGGGCATGTAATTCTAAACAAAGAATTAGGTTTGTGGTGGCTTTGTCTTGTAATAAAACAGCTTTGAGGTTACTAAAATGAATTTCAAAGTGTAAGTAAAAGATAAGCCCCATTAAATGCTCTGTCACCTTTTGAAACAGCTGTGAAAAGGGAAGGAAAATACATCCAGTAGCTGACCTGTAGCTTGTTTTGTAATTTACATTTTAGATGAGGTTTTAGAGGTTTCAATTCATGATACAATTTTCTTGTCTTGTTCAGTTAAAGTCTATTAAAGGTATATTATTTTATATAGTAGAATGCTTAATGCTTTTTGAATAAAATAAGAAATGGTGGTTTTGACTTCAGTTTGGGAACTTTTTTTGTCACTGCTGCACTAACTCCTGAATTGACTTCTGGAAGAAATCAACTGTTCAGTTGTAAAGTGAGTTGATCTTAGTTGTGAATTATGCTCTTCGTATTGGATTGGTGATGTGTGATAACATGTATTTGAAGGGTGTTTTTCTTTATTGTTCTAGTTTTCTTGGTTTATATTTCATCATTAACTGGTTTGTTGAACACCCACAGGGAACTCCTGATTTGAAACACTTTGAAGATGAGATACAAACATAAAAATCTTATGTCAGTCAGATGAGCTGTGAAAAGTCACAGACTCAGTAGAAAATATTCAGGTTCATTCTTAGCACTTCCTTTTTTAGATGTTGGTGGTAGTTTATTTCTGTTTCAGGAAATTCTAGGAAGAAGCTGATGTGTTCAGTGTGCAATAAGAAATGTTCCTCAGCAGCAAATCTCCAAGAGCATCGAAAGGTCAGTAAGATGAAGGCTAACTCACAGCAGGCTTTAACTTCACTAAGATGTGAGACTGTGGTGCTTAGGTCACTTGAAAGCTGCTGTAATGCAGACCTTCGCATAATCTCTTTCATGGTTACAGAACAAATGTATTTTATTGCAGGTATTTATTTTTGTAATCACAATCAGTTAAACCAAAATCTTCCTAAAGTTTTAATGCATCTTTTACCAAAACCAGAGATGTTTGTGCTTGGATCATTTATGCATTCCATCGTTAAGTCAAAGTTGCCTGCTGTTCTTAAGCATTCTTAAGATACTAAGCTAAATGTAGAAGTATGTTATATACAGGATTCATACAGACCATAAAATAAGTTCATGAGCCTTAAGGTTTTGTACAAAATACAGTCAATCTTTCATATTACTTTGTGACATACCATTAAAAGGGTTACTTGTAATTTAGTTATGCAGTAGTAAATTTTTTTTCTCCTCAAAACCAAATTGTTACTGTCTTCTTGTTTATACCCCTAATTTTTTATAACCAGAACAGGAGGGGTTAACAGTTTGAAAATCATCTGTTGCAGATAAATACAGATGGACTATGACTATGAGATTCTGAATCCATTGTACCCAAAGGAAGTCCCTGCAAGATTAATTTGATAAATGACTAAAACCCAGGAGATTGTTTTTACAAAAAGATACATTGTACTGTTTATCAGATTAACTGTAAGTCTTTAATAACACCCTTGTTATAACCTGAATCCATTGAGGATATACATGATATGATCTAAAATACGTTGTTGCAAAGGAAATGGTGGCCCCCTCCTTTTTAGTTTGTCTTTCTTCTTGCTTGTATTACTATAACTGCATTTCTTGTGTAACAGAGCTATATTTTATTACTCCTCAGGCCAAATCTTGGTATGCCTTGCCACATGTAATTGCAATTTTTACACATCCAGTACACCTTATGTTGGTCCTGAAAATAAAGGATACTATTGTTAGGGTGTGCATTTTACTAAAATGTTTGGTTTGTTTCTGTGCAGATTCTCTGACATAAACTAACAAACTTTTCAAGTAGCATTGATGGTTGCTCAGGTGAGCACTTACTCAGCTTACGAATCACCATGAAGATTTTATGCATACAACTTTTTTTCCTCTTCTTTATTGGCTCCTCTTTTATGACATCCAGTAAATAGATATTCTGGATTCACACACCTACATCAGATAGTGATTGAGATGGTATGTAGGACTTATGACTTCTGTTTGCTTGATTTACTTTGCATTTCTAGGTGTTGGGGCTAGATCCATCACAAATATTGCCATAAATATTTTGACAGGCAAAAAACCCAAAAAAACAGTAAGAAAATAATGGGTGAAACAGATAGGAAAAGTGATTGTTTTTTCAGCCATTTCCTGTCAATGTAAAGAAATAAAAGTTGAGAATATAAAGGTAAAGTATAGGAGAGAACAGAAAATAAGCTCAAGCAGCAGAGAGAGAAATCTGACAGAGAAAGAAGGTAAAGAGTGTGGCTATAGGGAAGATTAAGAAATCTGTTTACTTTCTGAAGAGACGGTTATTCAGATCTCTATCTTTCATGTCATCTTTGATTTAAACCCATTTTTACCTATGTATGTCCTGCGGATTGCTTGCACCTTAAATGTCTAAAGATAAGCCCCTTCTCAGCTGTGCACAATTAAACTCTGCTGTCATCATTATCTGTCATTTAGTCTTACCTTGTTTTCTAGACTGTTGCTTGTACCATGCTAATTTTTGGTAACATGATCTTTTTTTTTTGTTTTGTTTAACCTCAATAAATTCAAGGTGGTACAGGGCTGGAAGAGATCTCTGGAGGTTGTCTAGCCCTCTGGTTCACAGAAGGAAGTAACTATATACCTAAATCATTCCAGATATGTGCTGTCTCATCTCCTGAAAAGTTCCACTAAAGGAAATTCTACCACCCCCATAGATGTCTCTTTGTATTCTCTCTTTCGGCTTTATTGCCATCGACTTTTTTGCAATATATTTATTAGTCCAGTGTTTGTTTTTTCTGGTGTTTACGAAAATCTTCTTTACTGCAAATTAATTGCTCTTTGTCTTACCTGAGAGAATGCTGAGAAAAATTCACCAGAGTCTTCTCTGTAACAGCACATTGCAAAGTTGTTCTGAACTCCATTTGCAATTTCTAAGCTGTACAAACACACTTATCTCAGTCTTTCTTGATGCATCTGTTTTTCCAAACTGCTTTTTCTTTCAGTAAACTTTTTCTTCCTGTGGATTATCTTTTCACCTATGTGTTTCTTGAAATCAGCTGCCCAGACAAGAAGAGCATTGGTGTTTAGTTGAGCCTTTGGTAGTGGCAAGAATGGAAGAATGATTGTACTAAGTTTATTAACACATAGAATATATTTATTAATACAGAATGACAGTGCTTTCTGACAGTAGCCTCAATCTCATTATTCATACTTTGGAATTCATTAATCTTTTCTGTAGTGGTGCTGTATGTAAACTGTTGGTCATCATTTGTGCATTTGATTTCTCCTTTCTAAATATTGAGTATATTGGAGCTTCATTCAGAGTGTAAAAACTGTTTTGAATTCTCATCTTACTGATTACAATTCAAACCAGAACAGCCTCGTCTATATTCAAATACAATCCAAAACCAGAACAGCCTCATCAAATTTTATATTTGATTTCCAAAACTGCTTACCATAATACTACCCTCCTGCATGATGCCTACAAAACTTTAACAACAATTATGATGCGTGATGCCTGCAGAACTTGAACAGTTAGGATGTCGATCCACTGATCATTGCTTTTTTTGATGATCAGTATCTTTTTGATTTCCATTTTGTCCATCCACCTATTCTCTTTTGTCTTATCCTCCAGTTGTAAAGTAACATCCTTCTATCTGGTATTTATAGTAGTCTGTGCTGAGTGATATGGTAGTGTAAACAAACAAACCAACCAACCCTCAGCAAACACAACTAAGGCAGTGCTGTACAGGAGCTTACAGAAGACTGGGTAATAGAGTGAAAAAGTTTGTTGTAAAATCTCCTTTCTGCAGGTTTGTGATTTCTACTGCCAGGGGAGATGCAATACCATCTGAATTATATTTTGATACTAAGCTCTGAAATTTAGGTAAAATGCAGAACTCCATCATTGAACAATGATAAAAGTGAATAAGCAAGTGAGGAGAGTGTTGTCTTCATTGATGCAGATTATTGCTAAAGGGTTCCCTTTGTACCTTTGAATATAGCAGCCATGTTTTGGATTTGAATTACGCACAGGAACTTAAACTTCAAAGCGAGCATGTACATGTGAATAGCACAGGCTGCCAGGCCTCTCCACTGATGCTGTAATGTTCTCTAAGTGCAAAGGGAAGAAAAATTCAAACAACTCTCAGTGTTGGTAGTTTCTTTTCCCAGTCAGAACTGATAGTGCTACACTTTCAGCACTTGTAGGGTGTGTGTGGGGTTATGTCTCTTTCTGGCTGTAGAGCTGTGAGGTGAGTTTCTGACTGTAGTTGTAGGCAGGTGTCTTGAATGGTAAAGTAGCGAATTCTTTTATGAGAAGAAGGCTAAGGACACCTTAGAGTGTAAGACAGGAAAACTTTTTTGATTTTGAAGAAGGTCATAATATGAATGCCTGTATAAAATGCAGGATTGTGCTTCAGTGGTAAGACTAGTTTGTGCTGTTGGCCTTCTGGATTTCTTAGCAGATTTCTTATATGAATCTGTAAGGTTCCAGTAAGAGGCATGCTGTAGCATGGTTTGCTGCAGAGAAAATGACAGAATAAAGAGGGATTCTACTCATTGTTAGAACAATGATCAGAGATTGAGAACGTTTTATTGCTCATGAAAAATCCTTGACTCTTTCTTAACTTTCTTTGTAGTAGAGCCGGACTTAATGTAAAATTATGATGAAGAGAGTCACTCTTAAACATCATCTGTGATTCCCGCCCTCCCTCTCACCCTTTTTTGTCTTCCAGTTCTGAGTGTCTCTCTGTTGGGGTTTTTCTGCCCATTTGTTTAACACTGGGCAGTGTTTAGTTCTACTCTGCAATTTTCATTTTTCACAATTACTGTAAGAGCTATAGAAAGGTAGAAGAAACCAAATTTTGAGCACTGCTTTAAAATCATCAATAATACTTGATAATTTAAGTTGGGTGCAACATTCTCATATCCGTGCTCTCTCAAAGCACTGCCTTCCAGCATATAGAGTCTCATCCAGTTCTTGGAGTGGTAAATTGAAATTCATATTAGTTTCTGGAAAAGCTGATCATTGGTTACTTGCATCTTCAAAGCTTTAGCTCAGCTGGTCCCCTAAAACTCTTTCAGAAATCACCTTTTGCTTTTCAGTAGACCTCATGAAAATTTTAAGATCATCAGTCCTGTAAGTGAGGGAGTGTATTTATCTGTGCATATGTTAATCTTGTTCAGATGCTTGCTGTTTTGTATAGCTAGTAGTTATCTGAAGGTGTAGCTCTTCAAGTGCCTGTGAAACTATTGTAAGTATGTTCTGACTTCAATGTAGCAAAGGTTTATGTTGATGGCTATTACAGCTAAGGAGACTAATTTTGTTACACAAATAAATCATTGTATGAGCACTTGTCTGTGGTATTACAGCCTGGATGCTCATAAATCATCTTATTGGACAAGTTTTCTTACACTGAAAATCTATTTGAATATAATTATTAATTAAAATATTTGCTATATTTTATTACTGTTGTTTTACCATGTAATGATGCACTTTTCTAAAGAACTGATTAAAGAGTGCCAGCTATAGAATATAATAGCTACAACTATTTAATGCATGTGCACACAAGTCTGATTCTTTTCTGAAAAATTGATTAAAGAGTAGCAGCAATAGAATATATACCTAAAAAAAGCTGTAGCTTTTGAATGCACAAGCATGGAAGTCTCTGTTCTGATGCAAATGTGTTCAATGAGACTGTTAAACCATGCTTGTAAGTTGAAATCAGACATTTGTATGGTGTTAAAGCACAGTCTGGGTTCTGATGTATTAAATACTGTGTTTAAGAATACCTTGCTAGTTATTTCAAGTAATTGTGTCTGGGGGGATTCTAATAGGTAGCACAATTATATAAACTTCAGACAACCATCTAAGTAAAAAATATTACTTATGTCTTATTGACTAGAAGGAAATGTTCTGAAAAGGTATTCTGCATCTGTTTTTTTTCATACTTTCATAATAGTAATATTTTACATGGATCTCATACTGCAAATTTGCATGACCCATGTTTCTGTAGGTACTTCTAGTGATACTTTTTTTGTTTGTAATGATGAATATTTTTATTTTTTGAGAGATACTATTGTTTACCAAGGGACTAGCAGGGGGGAAATCACAGAATATTTATAAGTGTGAGTATAGCAGCTGGCTAAGAAATAGTTATGGTCTGTTAAGAGAATATCTGTATATGTAAGATGTGTGATCTTGTTGGAGACACATGTTTAATTACCATTAAACACTTATTTTGTAGGTCCATGAGATCTTTGAGTGTCAGGAATGTGACAAGAAATTCATTTCAGCTAACCAGCTAAAGCGCCATATGATAACTCATTCAGGTAACGTACAAAGGTAACAGAAACATATGTATATGTGTATGTATATGTATTTAACATACATTGAATTTTACCTGAATTAGTTAGACTTTTATCTGAATTATTACCTGATAGAAGGCTTGGTGAATTCTGTTTTGCCCTGAGCTGCTCAAGAAAATCTCAGGTTCCAAGGAAACCATGTAAGCTATCTTCCTAAGCCTTTCAAAAACCAAGTGTAATAATATAGTCTTCTTGCTATTGCTGCTTTGTCAAGCTATTTTTTCATGCTAGCTGGGATAGATGATGTCAGTTAGCTGGATTGGGGCGAAAAATTGCTATTGATTTGTAGAGGAGGTGAAGAACCATTGGGTAAAATCTCGTGTTGAGGAGAACGTGAGTTAGGGTATGGTGTCAGTCAGAGATCTGTGACAAAAAGACATTCATTCATACATATACATATTAGTGGACTCATGCACATAGGTTCCAGTTGAAGGAAGGTGGCTTGTACTCCACATCATTTCACAGACCACACACAACTGTTTCGTTTTGCCAGTCATCTTTCGGAACAGGTGACTGTGAGTGGGGAGTGGCCTGTCCATAGGTTTGGCAGTATGATACAAATTGGTCGGTATTTCTGATCATTGCAGTCTAGCATTTCTAGTGATTAGAAACATCAGCTAACACAATGGAAACACAAACATTTTTCTGTCAAATACATTAGCATTTAAAATACACAGGTTTTTACAGCTGCAGAGGCTTAGAATTGAACTATTTTCTTGATACCAGTCTGCACCAAAAGCTCATTTCTCATAATCTATATCTCAGAGGCTTCTAGCTTGCTTTTGACACTTTTGGATGAGCATTAATGTAGCTAAGTTGCAGTCACCAGTTGAAGCTTAAAGTCTTTTTGCATAGGAACTTTTGGGTTTGGAAGCTAATATGTATATTGTTAATTAAGTTTTAAAACATTTAAACTGTCATGCCCTCTTTCACATTTGTAATCTGAAAACGGAGTTTTCCTCTTTGAAGTCATTCTCTTTTGATTTAAGCTAATTAATCAGAATTTAGTTTTAGCAATAATTATTGCAAAGAATGTGCCAATTTCTTGAGATACACCATGGCTCATCTCTTGTGAAGCGACTTAACTGTCTAACATAAAGGGCATTAGATGTCTTTCTAATTGGTTTAATCTTAATTGGGTTGACTTAATTGCAGAAATCTCTCAGAGGAGATGACTGTCTCTGCCTTTCATCTTCTCCCCCTGTGTAAGCAGGAGATTAAATGTCCCCCGCTCATTTTCTGCAGAAAAACGCCCCTACACCTGCGAGGTTTGCAATAAGTCCTTCAAACGACTTGATCAAGTGACTGCACACAAAATAATACACAGTGAAGATAAACCTTATAAATGCAAGCTTTGTGGAAAGGGATTTGCCCACAGAAATGTTTACAAGAATCACAAGAAGGTAAAGCACTCTGCTGTTGTTGTTTACAGGTCTGCCAGCCTCAGATTTGCAGATTTTTTTTCTTTTAAGTGGTTCATCATTAAGCTCTGGCATGCTTATAAAGAGGGGATTGACTTATTGGAGAATGTATTTTTTAGTTGTTTTTTTTTTTTGTTATATCCAAAATCCCAAAATACTGAATGAATTCTAATAAGGAAAAAACCCACCACCAACCCAGTGAAATAAGCAGAGTATCACAGTTGCTTGGTTAAAAGCATCAAATAAATCCTCATTTTGACTTTTTTTCCCCCTACTTTTTATCAAGTTATAATGTAACTGAACTGTCCTCAATTTTGTATTTTTTTTAATACCGTATTTGAATAAAACTAAGTATAGTCCTGTTGCAGCAGATGCTTTTAAACTGCAGTGTATTTGCACTGGTAGTGTTCACACATTAAAACAACATCAGAAGAAACATTACCTGAAAAATAGGCTCATGAAAGGATGCTCCATTTCTGTTGATTTAAGCTCAAATCTGCTTGGCCTAATTTCTGTAATGCTTGTCATTATTTTTAACCTGGGGTTAGATTTTTAATGGCTAGGCTATACCTATGACTGCTGTTTCAGAAATAAGAGACTGTATAGAAAGGAAGAAAACTCACCCCTGATACACCCACACTTACAAGCCTTTCTCAGTTCAGCTCATGTTCTGTGCCATCTGTGAATTTGGCACAGGATCTTTGCACCATCTCTTGCACTTTCAACCATAAGTCATGTAAGAGTAATAATAATGCCTCTTGCAGGATGAAGTGGTGATGACTGTCTAATATAGAAAGCATGTAGAAGCCTGCTGAAGGACTCCCCGTATTATGCTGTGATTGTATCTCATGTTTTAGACTTCATTAAGAAAATGGGGCAGAATCTTGCCAATTGGCTCTATTTTAAGGAAAATGTGTAAAATACTATCTGGAAAGATACCATCTATATCTTAAATGAATACTTCTTACATGTTTCCTTATGTTAATTTGCAGTTGATGACTGGTAGGGAGTTTGGGCTAAAAAAAGGACTTCAGGATTAAGTGTGAATGAGTAAACACTGTGACCCAATTCTGTGTTTAAAGCAGCATCACCAGTAGCATAAGGAAGGATTAGAGTCTCCAATTAATAGGAATAATATTAAAGTTTAGACAGATTTAGTGAGAATCTAATTTTGACAGAATTCCTTTAAGCATGTTGGAATACTTCCTGAACATATTGGCACATAGTACTGGCTGTAAATCAACCCTGTCCTTATAATGAAAGGAACTTACTCCTCTGTTTACATAGTTTACCCAAACAACTGTGAATATTGACCCATCCATATTTAGATCTCTGATTTCCCTTGCTAAACGAAGAGATGAGTGTGAGAGACAGGAGACTGACATAGATGTCTTGATTTGCTTTTTTAGACATGCCTTTCTCCATTGAGTAAACAGTGTAATCAAAGAGAGGTAGTAATTAATGGAGGGGAGCATGGATGCACAAAACCAGTTGTAAGGTTTAAGCCAAGGATGTGGTAGTTTGGGATGGCACTTAAAATTACTTTGGCATAATTTTAGAAGGGCTGCTCTACTGCTAGGGGAAGAGGATGATAGTTCTTCTGCTTATTCATAGGAATAGCAATCCAGTAACAGTGGAAATTTAAAACTTTACCATGTATCATACTACTGTGTATATCTTCAGCTTGGGATTTTAGTGATTCTTTAGGTGTGTATTCCGTTAAGATGTCTTCCTAGGTTCCATTTTCTTTTGGAGGAAGAAAAGTTGTACTCTGAATTATTTCACAGTGCTTTTTTGAGTTACAGGTTGCAGCTACTGTGCTAGTAGCAGGGAGCTTAGAATCCTGCATTAGGAATGATGGGTATAGCGGTTAAAAATACTTAAATCAACCACATTCAACAGAAAACATTCTTTCAAGTTTGATAGCAACACACTTGAAAAAGTGTTTTAGGTTTTACAGTAGAGCCACATAATTTTTATTTATAATAAGAAACAGGATGCATATTCATTTTGTGCCTTTGAAGTTTTGTTTTGTCTTTTAGGTGGAAACTTGTTGCTGTTGTTTCTGGGATTCCTTTATAGGATTATTTTATGTTGGGAGTATCAGAGTAAAAATGACTCCCACAACGTGCTTTTAAACATCTTTCAGATATGGATAAATGTTGGGTCATTTCATCAAAAGAAGATTAGTTCCTCACATTTCACAAGATTTCACTGGGAGGTAGACAGTGGAATCGCGAAGAGTATTATCTGCTCTGTTCAGTGGAGCGTTATGATAGGAACCCTAACTTACCACTCTCTTAAGTCTTCTGTGGTACCTCTCTAATGTGCTGATTCTGCACACAAGTACTACACTGCTCAGTAGGGTACATGTGTGAACTTGCTTTGTCACTTCCTTGGAGATGTCAGCACTGGGAAGTGTTATGTGAGGTGGAACTAGCTCAGATGTCTTTTCAAAAAGCTCAGGCTGTATGACCATGTGATCATATGAAGAATATGATTCCATTTTTGTGACAAGGGAAGAGAATAGTATCTGAAATTGAGGCAAATGTAGTACTGGATTATGCTACAGATAAAAGTAGTCAATGTTCTGTGCCGTATAATGCAGATTACTTCAATACAGGAGAAAGCAAAAGTTTTTTTTCCATCTGCTCCTTTGTGCTATGTATAGAGGATGAGTTCAGAGAATAAAATATGAGGATATAACAGTGAGCAGATATAGGTCAGCAGACACAGGATTTTAAAGGGTTTATAGTTAATCCAGGGTTATTTGGTCTTGGGGAGCATAATGAATTTGAACAGCCATATTCCCTCAGTTTCTCTATTGAGAATAATTGGGCTGGGTTTAAACTTCTACAAATGTTTTGTTAGGAATGGCAGATGTGAAATATTCCATAAGAGCCCCTCCTCAGTTGCTTTGGTTGTACACCTGTCTTCTGCTCTGACTGAATGGAAGCCATCTCTGATCTGGGACATGTTAGTAGGACAAAAAGGGACAGTATTACAGGTAATATGGTTGTCTGGTGGGGATACCTCACCTCATTAGGACTTCCCTGGCTTTTCTGTGATAGACTTAGGTTGGTTTCGGACCACTCACAGAAGAGGCAAATGATCTCTGTTTCCTTGCATGAGGGTATGCCTGCGTAGGTGTTTGTAGTGAAGTTAAGATGTACAGGTGAATATTGTATTTTGGTCAGAAGACTAGGAGAACCGTCAAGGAAATGATAAGGAATTCTGTACAAATCTTCAGAACTATCACTCGAGTGGTGAGTGTTCTAAACCAGGACATTTTTTGAATAAGCAAGAGGAATTTTGCGCTCGTGAAAGGTGCCAGATTGACAGCCCTAGAGACTGAACCCTTCTATTTATCCACAGAACAGGTACAGCACAGACAGCAGCACTGCGAGCTTCCCCACAGTGTCTCATCAATATATCTCAACCCTGTTCTGGAGGAACCACCTGTTGAGGTGAGAAGGTAGTTCAGTCTCTTCATGTACTGTCAATCCTTGGCCTGACTTCTGAGATTGCCAGGCAGGGTGTCATCTGATGCAAATTGATATAAACCTGTAGAATCTGGACTGAATAATTCAGCAGATTTTATGTGTGATACATTCCACACGTTTGATGATGCTTCAGTTGCCATTTTGCTTTAAGTGACATAGGCTGATATCCAGGGAATGACTTTGAATCCAAAGCTTCTGTATGCCATTGCAAGTACTCTAATGTTTTCGTACTGTTGTGTATGTAGGAGGGCATTAGTGTTAAAATAAATCTAAGTTCAAGGTCCTCAGTCTACATCTAAATAATTACACTGACTGCTCACAAATCCCCTTTTCCCCATAGTTTAAGGGATAGCTATAAATGTTGTATGGTATTATGAACAGCAGAAATAGATTATCTAAATACGTACTACACTAATATGTACCCTTATTTACCTAATTTTGTGCATATTATAAAACACTGTCCCTTTTCCTCTTGACACAGCAGCTTCTACTTAAGATCTAATACAAAGTGATCTAATGCAAAGTTTAAACTTGATTTCCTTTGCAAAAATAGTAGGAAATTGGCTAGATAATAAATTGTATGGTTTAATTTGCTATCTGCAGTGGGACAGCACTTAATAACACTAGGAAACAGGGAAAGTGCTTTGGAATTTACAGAAGCAAAATGAAGCTAGATGTTTAAGAAGCTCCAGAAAAGAAATCTGCTTCAGCAACTTTGCAGTTTGAGAGATTCATCCAAGCTTAGGCCCTTTTATTTTATGTATGACTTTGAGGCTGTTTCTCACCTATGATAACTTCTACAACAAACATAACCCTCAGTACTGATACTCCTATTTTTTTTATTTTTTTTATTTTTTTTTTTGTCTTTTAGTACAAGAAGCTGACACAAGGATATGTAAGACTAGGTTCATTATTTGAGAAATTTTCTTGGCCAGATTTTAGATACTGCCTTGAGATAATCAGATCAGATTTACCCTCAGACTTAACAAAGGTTTTTGTGTACATTTAATTAGAATCATAGAATAGTTAGGGTTGGAAAGGACCTTAAGATCATAGAGTTCCAACCCCCCTGCCATGGGCAGGGACACCCCACACTAAACCATGTCACCCAAGGCTCTGTCCAGCCTGTCCTTGAACACTGCCAGGGATGGAGCATTCACCACTTCTTTGGGCAGCCTGTTCCAGTGCCTCACCACCCTCACAGTAAAGAACTTCTTCCTTAGATCCAACCTGAGCTCCCCCTGCTTCAGTTTGAACCCACCAGCCCTTGTCCTACCAGTGCAGTTCCTAATGAAGAGCCCCTCCCCAGCATCCCTATAGGCTGCCCCTCATAGGCTTTCAAGCGTTTATTCATATTAGTAAGTACTTAAGGCCAGTGTGAGTACTGATGACACAGTGCAACTGAGCTTTTGGTTTTGTTTTTTTTTTTCCTGGTTATTCTATATTTTGTTTCTGTTTAAATACATACCTCAGAAAACAGTTCTTGAGGACTGGAAAGGCATATTTATTCAGTGGCTGATAGCTGATTTTCGGGATTCTTGGTAATGGCAGAATGATTGTTAATTCTTCATCCCCTGATGTTTCAAATTGTTGTGATATTCCCTCCTTAATTCAGACTAGTGAATTAGCTATAATTACTGTAATGAGAGCTAATTGATTTCCTTGAGCCTTTCCTCTTACATGTTGTCTTTCATCTGCAGACTCATTCTGAAGAGAGACCATTCCAGTGTGAGGAATGCAAAGCTTTGTTCCGAACCCCGTTCTCTCTACAAAGACATCTGTTAATCCATAACAGTAAGTGCTAAGAGAGGGAAAAGAAGTTCCTCAGTTCTCACATTTGACTGAGTAAAGGAGACATATGGCGCCTTGCTCCAGTATGCAATTTGCTATATTAAATTAGTATTGAGATTCAACTCTAGCCCCAGGAAGTTAGAAGATTCAAAGCCAAGTTCAAAACTTGTCTTTAAATGCACTTAAATGCAAATCCAAATATGCTGTATAAAATTTAGCAATGACTTGAAGTCTGATGGCAGATTTATTTGTGCGTAAAGCATGACAGTGTTACCTCCATTTTAAGAAGGAAGAAATGGAGGCAGAGATAACTTGGTGGCTTACTCAATTTTTGTAGATAATCCTGTTTAGAGCTTGAAACTGAAATTCTCTGTCCTGTGCCAGATCAGGCTAATGTTTCCTGCCTGTGGCGTAGAACTTGCAGCCAAGAGAAATGCTGTGGCCATTTTCCCTCATGAGTAACTTGTTCTTGGCATTCTGTACTATTTTTTAACTGTCTGCATAAAGATTTATTTTTGGTGGAATTTTCCCTGTCTTTGATATTGACAGAGCCCAAGGCTACCATTCGACAATGTGAATATCAGCAATTTAGAGTTTAGAAAATAGTCATGGTCTAAAATCCTTGTAGCTTAGAAGGCAGTACTTTGATTTGGAGAATATTTATGTTGGTATAATTAAGAACACCACAAAACTTTTGTTTGTCAGTCCTGTAAATACTGGTTATATTAGACGAATTGTTAGACTGGTGTGTTTAATTTGTTCTTTTACAATTATCTTTCAGAACTTCTGTGATTTCATAAAGCATTGAATTTAAAAGTTTTTTTCTAGTGTTAAATGTTTAAAAATGATTGCAGGGGGTGGGGTGTTTAAAAACCTGTTTAGCAATGTATTTTCTAATGAACGAAGCATTCGCAAAACATCCAAAAGCAGTAAATTCACAGTGCACAGAATAGTTTGCCTTGGTAAAGATCTCTCTAAAAACATATATGACTATTTTTGAAGAGGTTTGAGCTAGGGTTGTGATTTGTGGCAGGTTTAGTTGTTCCTGAACCACCAGTATTTAAGCAAATACAGAATATATCAGACTGTGAACTGCACTGGCACAGACACTGTCTTGTCAGTCTTCCTTAGTGCAAAAGGAGACATATCTGCTGAAGTACAGAGTAGGTGTTTGAATAGGTAAATTCTGCCTTACCAGTATAGGTAAAACTGCCTCCAAAATGAGTCCAAGCCTTAAACTGAAAAGACTTGCATTTTTATTAATCACAGGAAAGATTTTTAAAACTTTCTTTTTTTTTACTTTTGAAAAAAAAGGCTCAACAACTGGGCAGCTTAATAAGGAGGCCTTAATACAGCAGAATATAATCAAAGTTTTTACAGTCATACTGCATCTTTCATCTGTAGGGTCCAAAAAAAGAAGTGCTGACAGACCAGTAGCAAGGTGAAAGTCATTACTAGGATGAACTGAAGAATAAACAGCTTTTAGTTCAAGGCTGTGATTAAAACAAGGGGCTCTGCTGTTGTCTGAAAAGAGCTTGTGTTCCAGAGAAGAAATGTAGAAGTCTTCTCCTCATGACCTAACTCGTGAGACTGAGAAGTTGTGATGACATGGTAATGAGCCTTTCATATTTGAAGTAACTCAGAATTACTGGCATTGTCCTTCTACAGCTGGATGGTAGTCCGTTTCATAGCTCTGAAATATACCTGCTCTATAAAAAACAGGAGGGAAACAAACCAGAACTTCCGGATATATTTATCTGGCTTTGCTGTGGTGTGCTGTAGGAAAGAAAAAAATTGTTTGCGAAGCTTGAAACTTGAAGGGAAAATTGAAGGTCGTTCTACATCTTTTTTTAAATTCAGTATCCCCTTGTTGGTTTAGAGGCAGGCCCTCTGGAGAATGATGTAGAATAACTTAAATTTTATTTTACAAACTAAATAGGCTGGAAAAATCCATATTTTGTAAACTAATTTTTCAGTTGTTCCTGTCTTTTAATTGGAAAAGGTGTCATGAATAAAACTTTACAAACTGAACATCAAGTATATCTAATTAACCAGTAATAGTAAAAATCCAAACTCTTCTTTCTACCCTCCCTCCCCAGGCTCTAGCTGTAGAAATGTAACCCATCTTCTGAGAGTCAGACAAATTTTTTCTCCTAGGCATGCTGCTGATAATACTTTTAGCAACTGTATTCTCATTATGTCACTGTCAATGTTGGGGCTAACCCTTTATTCTTAGCTATAGTGTTTAGGGAGGAGATAAGGTACATAAGTGCATAGTACCTCATAGCTCATACTAGCTCATGAGGCCATAAGAGACTTGACTAACAAGAATGAGTAGTCCTGAACAGTTTTACTTGGGTGATTTAGTTATTTAGGATTGTGGAGACATGCATGAACATGATTGCATTTGCAAGGAGGACATAATCCACATTATGTATTTGCTTTCCAGGGTAAAAATCTGCATGCGGAATGTTTGTTAGTAGGAGAAATATTAATTAGCTATTGCTACAGGGATCAGCAGAAGCGGGCACTGAAGATCACTCATTTAAATAAAGAATGTGTAGTCCTGATTTTCATTTTCTTGTTTTGTCATGAAGAGACTGCATCAGTGGAATAGATAATGTCAGTCCCAGGAAAGATACATTATGTTGTGTATTCCTGGGGGAAAGCACTGTAGGATATTCTAGTGCTCTGTTTTCATCTTGGGAGACATTTATCAATATTGTTAACAGTTTCATGTCAGGTACTCTGAAAAAGTTTCCTGCCTTCAGTGGTTTCAAGAGCTGAGTCAGTGATAAACTTTCTTGTTTACTTCCATTGTCTGGGGTGCCTAGGCCTGAAGAGAATCGATGTCTATCTTTTGCTATTTTGTAACAAACCTCTAGATCTATCACAGTGCAAACATGTTGACTGACAATACAAAATGGAAATTCTTTATTTTTATACATTAATATTAGGAATATATTTGGAATCTTTAGTATTACTCTTATCTGCCAAAGAGTTTGTTTTTGGCAGTGATCATTCTTAAGCGTCAGATATGATTTTACATTTATGATATGAAACGTGGTTGTTCTTTATCACAATGAGGTATTATGAAACAGGTTCCATGATCTTTAAGGTCCATTCCAACCCTAACGTTTTTATGATTCTGTGATTTCCAGAGCTGCTCAGGAAGTTTTAGTCCATCTTTTTGCAAGCAGTTTTGATTATTGCTTTATGCTGTTGAGAAACCGTCAAGACCTCCTTACATAGTTGTGTACCAGCGGTATTTTGAAACTAAGTTTTCATGTATCTTTATGGCTTAAAAAAAACCCCAAAAACAGTAAGGTGTAAAGACTGTTCAGTGAGCTAGCTTTGCATGGAGATAGTGCAATGTCAAATGGTTCCTCTGTAATGAGATGTAGGGTTTCTGCTAAATAAGGAAGCTGAGGAGAAACACTGATTATTTTCCTTCATCTAGAATAACACTAAAAAATTAGCAAATTCTAGGCTTCCCGTTGCTTTGCATGTTGAAGAATTTTGCTAAACTTTTACCCAGAAGTTGGTGAAACGCATACTTGGTGTAGTAACTATATATGGTTGAAGACTATTATAAATTCAGGAAGATGTCTCTTACCATTTAAATTTCAAAAGATTAAGCCTATTGCATCTTTTGCTCATTGCCATAAAGAGAGTCTGTTAAAGAGGTTCTGATAAAACCTGTGCTCCATCTTGCTGTCAGCCATTTCCACTGGATGCCATTTTACCTTTGGCTGTAGAGATTGATTTCACATTTCTGGCTACATTGTTGTCAGGACTACTTCCTTAATTTCTAAATGACCTGATTTGATGTTCTTTCTGGTCTCAGAACCCAGCTTTTCATTTGTCTTTGCTGCTTTTATTCATTATTCTGAAACAGTAAGTATTAGTGTATTTCCACAAAAATATGATACCTTTAAACACTGTTTTTCTCTTTATAAGGTGAGAGGACTTTCAGGTGTGATCACTGTGATGCTACTTTCAAAAGAAAGGACACATTAAATGTTCATATTCAAGTTGTACACGATGGACAGAAGAAATACAAGTGTGATCTCTGTGACAAAGCTTTTGTGACACCCTCAGTCCTAAAGAGTCATAAAAAAGTGAGTAGAATAAGTTCTGTCATATTAATTTGTTCTGTGTCCTTAAGATGGTAATAAACATAAAATCCCCAGATGCTTCTGCATTTCTGGCTTTTCAGTAGAAAGCTATGATGGTGCTTCACATCCTAAAATGCTTATTGCAGTAGTGGGATTCTTGGTGGCATGCAGAATCTGTAGTGTGTGCATATGTATAAATTCAATGTAGGTACTCCAGCATCTGGTGTGTGGCTGGACTTGCTGCACTATTCTTGCCATACTCCTTCCCACTGATCTCTGTGGCGGAATTGGGGTAAACTTTAGAAGAAAACTTGCTCACTAGTTGTGCGTGAGGTAAGGTTTATGTTACAGCAAAGAAATGAGAAGAAAGTAATTGAATTGAGAACAAATCAGCTGAGGCATTGCCACCAAATGCAGATTGCAAGAGTTTATTGAAAAACATGATGCATACATTGTTTGCCATGTAGTATGCTCTTCATATGTGCATGTAAAATTTTAGTAAGAAAACTGAGTGTAACTGAATTACTTAGTACAATATTTTCGGCACATAATTGTTGTGAGTCCTATGCATTACAACACAAATATATGTTCAAAATTGAGGAAAAAATATAAGGGAGTCTTCCAATGTCTCTCCAGCCCTATGTTACAGCTGTGGGAACTAGTACACATCTTTAGAGCCTAAACCAAGTTACTGGCAGATAGTAGACTATTGAAATCTGTAAGGTAGTGGATGGCACTGTCTCCTTAATGTGTAAAAAGTATTTGCAAAAAGTATTGGAACCAACTATGAATGAGTGGTGTTTTAAAGATCTTGATCTTCCATTAAATGTATGTTAATGCATTTGCTGTCTGCCTTCAGTCTGTTTTAAGTGCTGCTTATTCCATATTTAATATGCATTAAGTTACTTAGTAATTATAGTTGCTGGAAAATAAAGTTTCCTGTGATTGAGTGACTTAACTGTGTAAACAAGATGCATTCCTCTCAGATATGCTTAGTGGAAGATTTTTGCCTGTTCTTCAGAAGAGCTTAAATGACGTGGGTTGCCTTGTTTATAGACTGCAGTACATGTACTGTAAGAGAATTTAGATTCAAATAACCAGGATCATTAGTTGTTCAGCCTGTTATATGAGTTGAGTTTTGCTGTAACAGAGAGAGAACTTTATAATACTATATATTTATACATAATACTATATATTTATATATACTATTTATATATAATACTCTATATACTCTATAATACTCTTTTATAATACTGTTTTTCAGAGTATTAAAACACATTTGTTTTTCAAGCCTGAATATATTGGTCCAAGAACTAAAAAACAAATGGTATGCAAAATAAAATTGTGTTCCTGGGGAGCAAGACTTCAGGGGGGAATAGTATAATTCATTAAGCAAATTGATTTCTTTGCGAAACAAGACTGCTTTTCAACACACAATCCTTTTCATCCTTATCCACTTGTTCTAATCACTTGAGTTAACAGACCTAGCTTATAATACTGATACATTGAGTTCAGATCAATTTTTTGTGAAGGATGGATTGTAAGATCCAAAAGTCAAAGTATTACCTGGAATCATTGATGTGCTCTGCATAATTTTTTAAAAATTTCCCTAAAGTCCTTTCTAAAAAATTCAGTATGACTTACTATTTCACATTAAAAATGACTGTGTGTACTTGTATTTTAATGGAAAGTACCTGGTGGTTATTATTTATCCCTGTTCTCTCTTTGGCATTCCTACTTAATTGTAATTGCTATTGCTCTATGCTGCTGTCAGACTAGGACAAGCTATATGTTTGTGAGCCTTTTAGTTGTACTGTATTGCTCCCAGAAATCCTTTCTGGTAGTTTGAAATGTATTAAGTGAATATGGTATTCCCTAATACTGCTGTTAGAGAGAGAAGTGATTTCTAAAGAAATCTATCCTAATCAAGAAGGATTTAACATTGATACCCCTAATGTTGGGGAATAAAAATGCTGCAAGTGCATCCAGTGTTGAAATGGATGCATCTCATTTACTCTTCCTTGCCTCTTTACAAATGCCCGTAGGGCGGGGAGCAAACAAGAGGAATTAGAGATGTGTGCACGTCTACAGGGGTATGATATAATAGGTATCGCAGAAACATGGTGGAATGGCTCCTATGGCTGGAGTGTTGGAATGGAAGGTTACAGGCTTTTTAGAAAAGACAGGCCTGGCAGGCGGGAAGGGGGAGTTGCCCTTTATGTTAGGAATAGGCTGGAGAGTATGGAACTCTGTCTGGGGACAGGTGATCAGTTAACAGAGAGTTTGTGGGTCAGGGTTAAAGGGAAAATGACTATGGGAGACATTACTGTGGGGATCTATTACAGACCGCCTAATCAAGAGGAACCTGCGGATGAAGCACTCTATAGACAGATAGGAACAGCCTCACGCTCACAGGCCCTTGTTTTCATGGGTGACTTCAACCACCCTGACATCTGTTGGAAGGACGGTACAGCCGGACACAAGCAATCCAGGAGGTTCCTTGATTGTGTGGAAGACAACTTCCTTCTGCAAGTAATAGAGGAACTGACAAGGAGAGGTGCCATGCCTGACCTTGTGCTCACCAACAGGGAAGGGCTGGTTGGAAATGTGATGTTCCAGGGCAGCCTTGAGTGCAGCAATCATGAGATGGTCGAATTTGAGATCCTCAGGACAGTGAGAAGAGCATGCGGGAAGCTTACTGCCCTGGACTTCAAAAGAGCAGACTTTGGCCTCTTCAGGAACCTGCTTAGTAAGGTTCCATGGGATATAGCCCTAGAGGGCAGGGGAGCCCAAGACTCTTGGTTGACATTCAAGGATCACCGGCTCTAAGCTCAGGAGTGTTGCATCCCCACTAGAAGGAAGTGCAGCAGGAGGGCCAGGAGACCTCCTTGGATGGATAAGGAGCTGCTGAGGAAAATTCAAAGGAAAAAAGAGGCTTATAATAAGTGGAAGCAAGGACAGGCGGCCTGGGAAGAATATAGGGATATTGCTCGGGAAGCTAGGGACCAGGTTAGGAAAGCTGAGGCCCAGTTAGAATTAAACTTGGCTAGTGATATTAAGGATAAGAGGAAGGGATTCTACAGGTACATAGCAAATAAAAGACCGACTAGGGACAACGCAGGCCCCCTGTGGAAGCTATCAGAACTGGCTACACAGGATTTGGAGAAGGCTGAGGTTCTGAATGACTTCTTTCACACACAGTATCACAGTATGCTAGAGATTGGAAGGGACTTCTTTGCCTCAGTCTTTACTGGCAAAGGCTCTGACCACACCGCCCATGTCTTGGAAGGCAGACACAGGGACTGTGAGAATAAAGACCTTGTGCCCACTGTAGGAGAGGATCTGGTTTGAGACCATCTTAAAAATCTGAAAGTGCACAAGTCCATGGGTCCTGATGAAATTCATCTGCGGGTCGTGAAGGAGCTGGCAAATGAAGTTGCTAAGCCACTGGCCATCATATTTGAGAAATCATAGCAGTCAGGTGAAGATCCCCAACGACTGGAAAAAGGGAAATATAACCCCCATTTTCAAGAAGGGGAAAATGGATGACCCGGGGGATTACAGACCAGTCAGTCTCACCTCTGTGCCTGGCAGAATCTTGGAGCAGATTCTCCTGAAAGGCATGCTAAGGCACATGAAAAACAACAAGGTGCTTAGTGACAGCCAGCATGGCTTCACTAAGGGGAAATCCTGCCTGACCAATTTGGTGGCCTTCTGTGATGGGGCTACAGACCTGATGGACGGGGGTAGAGCAGTTGATGTCATCTACCTGGACTTGTGCAAAGCGTTCAACACTGTCCCACACGACATCCTTCTCTCTAAATTGGAGAGACATCAGTTTGATGGATGGACCACTTGATGGATAAAGAACTAGCTGGGTGGCCGCACACAGAGCTGTGGCCAGTTGCTCAATGTCCAGCTGGAGACCAGTAACGAGTGGCGTCCCTCAGAGAACGGTGTTGGGACTGGTCTTGTTTAACATCTTCGTCGCTGACAGTGGGATTGAGTGCGCCCTCAACAAGTTTTCCAGTGACACCAAGCTGTGTGGTTTGGTTGATACGCTGGAGGGAAGGAATGCCATCCAGAGGGACCTTGACATGCTTGTGAGGTGGGCTGATGCCAACCTCATGAAGTTTAACCATGCCAAGTGCAAGGTGCTACACCTGGGTTGGGACAATCTCAGGCACAGCTACAGGTTGGGCAAAGAAGAGATTCAGAGCAGACCTGTGGAGAAGGACTTGGGGGTGTTGGTCGATGAGAAAATGAAGATGAGACAGCAGTGTGCGCTTGCAGCCCAGAAAGTCAACCGTATCCTCGGCTGCATCAAAAGGAGAGTGACCAGCAGGTGGAAGGAGGTGATCCTGCCCCTCTACTCTGCTCTTGTGAGACCTCACTTGGAGTATTCTGTGCATTTCTGGTGTCCTCAACATAAAAAGGACATGGAACTGTTGGAAGAAGTCCAGAGAAGGGCCACGAGGATGATCAGGGGACTGGAGCACCTCCCGTATGAAGATAGACTGAGAAAGTTGGGGCTGTTCAGCCTGGGGAAGATAAGGCTGCATGGAGACCTCATAGCAGCCTTCCAGTATCTGAAGGGGGCGTATAGGGATGCTGGGGAGGGACTCTTCATTAGGGACTGTAGTGATAGGACAAGGGGAACGGGTTAAAATTTAACCAGGGGAAGTTTAGATTGAATATAAGGAGGAAATTCTTACCTGATAAGGTGGTGAGGCACTGGAATAGGTTGCCCAGGGAGGTTGTGAATGCTCCATCCCTGGCAGTGTTCAAGGCCAGGTTGGATGAGGCCTTGGGTGATATGATTTAGGGTAAGGTTTTCCTGCCCATGGCAGGGGGGTTGGAACTAGATGATCTTAAGGTCCTTTCCAACCCTAACTATTCTATGATTTTATGATTCCTTCAGCTGCAGTGTAATAACGTACGACGTGAGGTAATGAAGACTTTCATGTCATTTCAGTGTCGTTAATAATAATAAGAATTAATTTCCCTATCTGAAGAGAGTTATGTGCAAAGCTTGAAACCCAAATAGTCAGCTGTGCATATGATTTAATATGTTATCTTTCCTATCCTATTTGAATGAGCACTTGGAAATGAAGGGATTCAAAATTCTTCACTAAAGGAGCAATCTCATTTATAAGGAAACATTATTTGATAGGCTGGTATATCTTCAGTTCAGAATAGGCCGTAGAAAATGTCAAAACCGATGAGAAGCTGTGTTTGTGACTTAGTTCAAGGTGGTCTTGCTGCCAACCTCCCAGGTTGGATGGGAGATTTTGAGATTTTTTTAAAATTTTTATTTTTATTTTGAAATAATTCTTCTTAGCAGCAAGGTGCTTTAGCCTGAGGAACTTGCTTTCATAAGGCAAGCTCAGTGTATGATTCATTATTAGTGACAATTACAATATTATTTTTGTGATAATTCTCTAAATGCAGTCTGATTCTAGAACTTAAGACAAGCTAGTATGTCCAGTATGCAAGTTGTGTTGACTGAATTGTTGAGAACTTACACTTTGAAGGATTGCTATCTGTCATACTTCAGATGAACTGTTGGCTGTGTTTCATTTGTATGAGACAGAAACCATATGCACAAATCTCCATAAAGACATTTTAAAGTTCTAGTTCAAGTCTGCAACAGGAAGAGTAATGCTAGGTTAGGTAAACTATTTTCACAACAGTTCATAATGTAATAAAATCCTGTGAAATTATAAGCTGTTAAAAATAGACCCATTTATGAAGATTAGTTGTATTAGATAACCAAATTAACGTTTATTGGAAACCACTATCACAGATACCAAACTGAAAAATAGGTGTCTTATTCTTGCAATCATGAAAACAAATAGAGTTGGATAGGACATTTTTGATAGTAACTACTTTTAGGAAATAGTAAACTTAAGAACTGAAAAGCCAGATTATTTTGCCATTAGTAATGAGAGTCATTTAAAAGTTTTAGAAGAAAAAATGAAAGAATCTCTGCCTTGTATGATGGTATAACATGTATAATGGAGATAATAGTGGTCAACGTCAATACAGTTAAAATATTCTATATTCCACTTCTTTGAAAGCTATGCTGAAGCTTTCATTCTTGTCTTTCTCCACCCCGTGTAGACTCACACAGGAGAAAAAGAGAAGATTTGCCCATATTGCGGACAGAAGTTTGCAAGCAATGGAACACTGAGAGTTCATATTCGAAGCCATACAGGTACAGTGTTGTTTATTATAATCAACAGAGATGACTTTCTCAGTATGTAGCAGGGTGTCTATAAGTATGTCCATGATTTGTCTATCTACAAACAGAAATGCAAATTTACAGGTAGGCCTAACACAGCATCATTTTCAGACATCTTACCTGCTTAATGTGTAAAAGCATATTCTGTTCTCAACTACGATTATGTACGAGAGTGTGTATGTAAGTGTATGAATGTTTATATGTATATACAATGTAAGTTCATCTTTCTGGTAGCAAAGGTGTTTTGACACTCTGACTTCATATTAATGTAATTTCTGACCTTACCACAACTTGCACGCTACCCAAATTAGTATGTTCTACCTTGTGTATGCTTTAACTCAAAATTTATTTTCTTTTGCACCATCTTATTCATTCTACAGGTCTCCTAATGTTCCTGGGTCTGATACATGCAGCTTATTGCCACCCAGATTGCATTACTGTAATGCTGTTGTGTTATACATGTGCATCTATGCACACACTGAAAACAAATTAGTCATGTTGTCAGGTTTCATTTTGTGATCTTATACTTTCATTCAGGTAAGTGGCAGCATCTGAAAGGGGTTTCATTGTGATAATTTGATTCCCGTATAAAATGGTATAGATTTGCCTTTGGCAGTCAAAGCATCAGTTAGCAAATAGCCTTCCTATGACATTCCATTCACTTGGCATAAGCAAATTTCGTTTCCAGGGAGATGACAAGAATTTGTACTTTTAGTCATTTGGCTTTCTACTGTGTTTGGAAAAGTCTGAGTCACTTTAATCTGTCAAGACCACCTCTTAAGTTTACAGGTTTACTCGTTTTTGATACATTGGGATTTTTGGATTTCGCTGCTATAGACACTAGCAAATTTTTATCCTGTTCCTGCAGGATGAAGGCTAAAATTGACTTCTATCTTTAGCTGTTATTATTTACTAAATTCCATTTTTGGAACATTTGTCCTTCTTGGCAGCAATATAAAATAATATACATAGAAGCCTCTGTATATTCATTCTGCTCATGTTGTTACATACACTGTATAATCACTGATACAAAAACCAGAAGGTCAAAGCTGGCAAGACCCGAAATCTGTCTGTTGCTCCAGTTTGTTGACAGTCTTTCTTCTACGCATCTTATCAACTCCTTTCAAAGCCCTTCCTGCACATATTTTTTTTTTCACTTCCTGAAGATTCATATCAAACAATATTCTAATTCTTCATTAAAATCTCTGGATTCACATTTCAACATTTTTTTGCAGGCAAGTCTGCTTTATGGCCTTCGCTAGTGTGACACTTGTGTTTTCTTATTTCACAGGCCCTTTCCTTAAACTTCAGGTATGTTTTCTGTGTACTATGAATGTTATACATCAGTTTGCACAGGGTACAAAGGTCCTAGATTTTCAAGTTGATAGTGCAGATAGCTCTTGGGGAAAATGCTTTATAGCTGTCTGGGTGAAAATGCTTTTCACACATGTGCTGCTACCAGTTACACTTAATGTTTCAGCTCTCAAGCAGGCTTTCCTGAATTTAGAAGTTAGGCTAAGCTGATGTTCATGAAACCACGCACCAGAGACCTCTAACCTTGACTAGAGAGCCTAGCAAAATTTGTAGCCAGTATAACACAAGAAATGGTAACTATGACATTTTGAATTTACTTGAAGTAGAAAGGCACTGAAGATTTTCAACTCATTTGTAAATTAAGTGTGGTGGGACAAACTGTCTTGCCAGCATATGATACAGGTTGGAATTAAGGGGATATGCAGTGTGGAAACGACCCACTGCAGGAGGAGGGAGAGTTCAAGGCCTGTTTCGTTACCTAAAAAGCTAGAAGCACTCATTTTGAAGAGGGTTGCTAATTCAGGAAAATAGTTTAAAAAAATAATCTGTAAGTTACACGGCAAAATGCCTTACGTGAGGTTTAGTGAGAACATGCTGTAGTTAGATGCATGTTGGACTTTTATAGAGGTTGTTTTGACTTGTGCTGTACCTGAAGACTTTAGCCAAGTTGTTCATGATCATAATAGATGCAGACTAATCACAAAAGGAACTTGTTGTCCAATGTTCAGTGGGCCTGAGGACGCATAGCTTTCTGAGGAATAGCTTGCATCATTTCTGAGAAAGCAGGGATAGTTGATGAAGGGAATCTGTGTCATCTGCAAACAGTACAAAAATACTTGACGTACTTATTTGATGGCTTTTAGCAATAAAGTTCACTGCATTGTGAAAATCCTTGACAACTTTTTGGGTATTTTTCTGAGTGCCAAGAAATTTGCAGCTCATCAAACAGTGGAGCCGCAAACTTACTTTATTCAGTGATGGATGTTTGGTTTCAAAACATTGCCGTATTGAATACTTCATGCTCTTGATATCTATTAAATTCTGTGGTTTTGAATTGATCAGTTAAAAACTGTGCTCTCTTTTCATTTTTTGTGACTTTTCATTCTGACCTAGAAGTGAAACAACCAGCAGCCATGGTCTGCTTTCAAGAGATGGATCATCTTTGTGAATAAGCCTTCAGCTGGGGATGAACTTTGTTGCAGCTAAGCAGTACACTATAAGTGTAAATATTACAAAGACCTTCATGTCTTAGTGATTAGTTTGAGGTCTTGGTGCAGAGATATATATTACACCGCTGTGCATGTGGTCAGCTAGACTTTGTTTTATTAGCTACTTGGTTCTGTATTTAAAAAATAAAGCCGGCAGTTCTTTTTAAAGAGAGTTGTGTATCAGTTTTTATCCTTTTTTTTTTTTTATAAAGCTGTTTTTGATAAAAAGTCAAGGTTGTCGGGTCTGCTTTGGAATTGTATTGTCATATGCTTAATAATCCATATACAAAAAGAGAAGCTCAATGGAATTTTGGCTTATATTTAATACACAGCAGATGTTCTTCAATACTGTTACTCACAGATGTATGCATGTTTCCTTGATAAGCAGTCTTCTTCCCTCTTTTATCTTAGAGTAAGACTCTGTAAATGAGCCCTAACAGTACTTGGCCTGTTGCAGAAACTGAGCTTGTTTGGGGTGAGTGAACATGTCTGCATGTGCATGTACAGAGGGAAGGGGTTGATGTTTGCATCTGAACCTAGCATTTTGCTCTGTAATTCATCATCTGGGTTTCAGCCTTGGCATGACAGAGACAGTGCTCTGTAGGTCAGCTGAAACACTATAGCACATTCTCCCTCTGCTGTATCTTGTTGGTTTATGACTTCTTAGGATCAGAGGGAACTGGGGTTAATTTGGCAAAAGAATCCTCTGACTGTGATATAAATTCCTTGGCTTGTTCATAAATTGTAAAAGAAATTCTATGGTCTGCTCCTTGGGCTTGAAAACTAGGGGCCAGGAGGTTAATTACTTCCCTAAAGTTTCCTTAAAGTTTTCCGTAAAGCAGCTTCAGTGTTAACGGTTACTGGCTGTGGCTTATGCAACTTCTCAGTTTCTTTATGCGTAGCTATTTAGATCTAGTAGTTGCTGTATTGTGTGGTTGTGTGTACATCTATTTGTGTGTGCCTATGTAATGTATTTGTGCACATGCATTTTATCTGTCTGATACTTACACTATTGCTTTCCTAATTAGTTGTGTCCTAATCCCGTTCATCATTGTGATGTAGCACATCAGGTTGTTGTTACAATAGAAGTTGTTCTAGTAGTAGAACAACTACTAGTAGTAGTTGAGGTAGTTTATATTGCAGGTAAATTTTTTTCTGTGTTAAGAAAATGAAGTGTTTGAACTGTAATTCCATCCTTTGCATGCTATCTTTTTCTACTACATTACATAGGGACTGAGGAGGGACAACTAATGACCATACACGTCTTCCAGAAAATGCTTATATATGCAAATATAGGTTAAGACATAAACTTTGTTTTTGCTTTTTTCACCACAGTTAGTCAAAGTATTGCTAAAAAGTCACTAAGATTACGATGACTTTATTTTATCCTAAATGTTTTCTGAAAAGGTGAATGTTTATATTCTGTGTCATTTAAAAGGCATGACTTAATGTGGCATTCTTACATGTTACAGTCTCTGGTATGTGGAAAAGCTGCTTTATTTTGTAAGTGTGAGTTAAGAAGGTTCTTTGTTAATTTGTTTCCATATACATGAGTAAGAGATAATGCCAAGATACTGCATTAGAACAGTGAAAAGCATTGGGACCATAGACTTCCATAGCCTTTGTGTCAACACAGTTAAGCTTACCTTTTCCATTTCCGTTTTCATAACTAAAGACTCCTTTATAAGCTCATGAAAACATTTCATCTTACTTGCTCACTGTAACTTTAGGTGCTGGTTGCCTTTTTGAGATGTTTGTCATCCTCTACATTGAGGATGTGATGTTGTGATCCTCACTTTGCCATTGTAGTCACATTTTTACAGTTTAACTAGTCATTTGAGCATGTTTAAGATCATATTTATGGTCCAACTGTTTAAAAATCTAGGCCTAAATTTTGCACTTTTATGTAAAAATTCCTGAGTAAACAATAAAATATTAGTTATGTAGTTATAATAATGATCTTTGCTTATTAACAGTAGTTGAATTATCTGCGAGCAAAAGACTTCAAAGTAGTTGAAGGAAGAAGTTGAAGAACAATTTAACTTTAGTTTAGTACTGTGTAAAATATGCCCCCAAAGTTGTAATAGCTAAAGAAGCAACTGTTTATTCATGTACATAAGAAATAATGTACAACCAGGATCCTTATTCTAGAAAATCTACTGGCAAATTACCTTATAAGTAATAAATGTTTTGTTACATTTAAAAACAAAAAAAAAAAGAAAAAGGGAAAAGAGAAGCTTAAAGGAACTTCCTCTCATAACACATTGAAGTATGTGGAAAAACGTATCTGTGTCTAGTCAGTGAACAGCTAGCAGGTGTTTACAGATAAACAGATTGTTTCTATTCAGTAACTTATAAATGATCTCTCTTTTGTCTACTGAATTTAAAAATGAGCTTGCAGAAGACCTCAAAGGTAAGGATTCTGCATTTCTAAACTTTTCAGTTTATACA